TTTTTTTTTTTTTTTTTTTTTTTTTTTTTTTTTTTTTTGGCTGAGATTGCTCTTTCCCTGGATGGAAAATTCCCAACCTGCTTGAGTTGGCAAGCTCTGGTTTTCAGCTAAAGCATATGCTGATGTATGTTTATATCTTGCTGCAACAAAAAGCTGTGGGTAAATCAAGAGCTGAAGGCAGCAGGCAGTTCCCTTTCCCACCCCAGCAGTCCTCATATTGCCAGTGGGAGGGTGGAAAAATGGCAATTACAGTTCAGTCTGCAGGAAAATGGCAGCAAAACTACACTAATAAAATAAAATAAAATATAATTCCAGATTTATTAGCTGTCCTACAGATAATACTGTAAATTCAGGAAGAATTTCTTCATGGAAAGGGTTGTCAAACATTGCAAGGGGCTGCCCAGGGAGGTGGTGGAGTCCCCACCCCTGGAGGTGTCCAAGGAAACACTGGATGTGGCACTCAGTGCTCTGGGCTGGGGGACAAGGTGGGGATTGGTCACAGGTTGGACTTGATGATCTTGGAGGTCTTTTCCATCCTAAATGATCCTACGAAATGCAAAAAGATCCAGAAAATCTGACCTACAGCAACCACTGCCTGAGAGATGTCACGTAAGAAGAAAGAATAACCTGCTTTTATTTCAATAAAAGGACCATTAAACTCCAAGAGCAAAGTTTGCAGCCTCATCTTGCTACATTATAGTGATTATCCAGTAGCACTGCCTGGAAAATGGAATTCCTAAGTGCTTTTGCCTCTCCCTGGCTCAGTAACATGATGCCTTATTACCCTCCAGCAAAGGCAAGGAATTCTTAGGCAGATTTTTCCCTGGCACCCTGCAAGCTCCTGCTGGCTGCTCCGTGGGCTGGACAGCTGGGAGAGGCTGGAGAGGCTGTGGGAAAGGTGCCTGCGTGTTCCTGGAGCATCCAGCACTCTCCCAGCTCCTGATAAATGGTTTCGCAGCTGTGGAAAGGGCTCCGCTTTGCAGAGATGGCCGGTTTGGATTTCATTTTAAACGTTGCATTTCAACTCTTCTGTCCTGGAGTTTCCCTCTGAGATCTCCTGTCAGAACCAGCTTTGTTTTAGAGTGTGAGTTTTGAGGTTAATTGATCAGGACACTTGAGGAACGAGGGATTTAAGTTTGTGAGACCTCGCAGATTTCGTGGAATGCATGGATGTGTTTTTAGCAGGCTTTTCTCAGGGTGGTTCGTGGGGGGTTACCCTGTTCAAGAGCAATGAAACCCAGTGTTTCCCTGGAGCATTATGAGCTACAGCCTTCCAGTACCTAAAGGGGGCTTCCAAGAAGGCTGGAAAGGGACTTTTCACAAGGGCATGGAGTGACAGGGCAAGGGGGAATGGATTCAAACTGAGGGTCGGTTTAGATTAACTTAGAAAAAACTCCTTTCCTGTGAGGGCGGTGAGGCCCTGGCATAGGTTGCCCAGAGAAGCTGTGGCTGCCCCATCCCTGGAAGTGTCCAAGGCCAGGTTGGATGGGGCTTGGAACAACCTGGGATAATGGAAGGTGTCCCTGCCCATGGCAGGGGGATGGAACTGGATGATCTTTAAGGTCCCTTCAAACAGTGATTTTATGATTCCACACTGAGTAGTTGTGAATCAACTCCCAGATCTGGCAAGTCACACCTTTTACAGGGTTTGACCCCTGACAGGAAAGCTTTTTGTTCCATTATCAGATGAAACCTGAGTCCTTTTCATAAACTCAGTCCTCATTCTCCAAAGTCTATTCAACAAAACTGTACTCAGTAAATAGAGTTGGGAAAGTGGCTTTTCACTGATTACAGGGTTTTCCTTCTCTGCTTTATTCCCTTACAGACCCTGATTTATGACACATCCTGTCAGGCTGTGACTGGCCTCACCCAGCTCTACCTGAGGCTTCCTCTTGGCCAGCTGTGATGGTGGGAGCAGAAGAGCAGGAAACACTGATGTGGGACTGGTGAACACCTGAACATTCCCCACTGAACTGTTTTGTGTTCCAGGGCTGCTTCCTGGTGTTCAGCAGTTTCCATCTCTTGGGGCAGATGGAGGGTTTTTTTCCCCTGTAATGTTCAGTACTTGCCCCTGCCAATCTTTTCTTGCCATGGGATGCAGAGGTGTGGGTTTGGGGTCAATACTGTGTTTTCCTGCTAATTACAGAGGCACCAACTAGTCAAATAGTCCACAACTATAGGGGGCTTGAGATGCCAACCTTGCACTGAGGTGTCTATGGTAGATCATCACAAGGTGATCTTTAAGGCCCCTTCCAACCCAAACCATTCTTGGGATATTTCCCAGATTCCAGGCATTGCTGATTTTTATTTAAGGAGAATGAAAATAGAATTATTTAGACAAA